TACATATCTAGGCATATTTAGGAGTTCATATAACTAATGTGATATATGCCATCAAATGCCAGCAATGCTTCTCTGCCATGTATAATGGTCAAACTGGACAGACTCTATGGCCGTGTCTAGACGGCATCCCTTTTTTGGTAAAGGGATGTAAATTAGGCACGTTGATATTGCAAATGAAGCTGGGATTTGACTTTCCCGTGCTTCATTTGCATAATGGCGGTCGCGGCTTTTCTTTAAAAAACCCCCCAGCAATTTAGATGGGGATTTTCGACAGAAATGCTCTGTTTCGAAAGATCTCGTACACCTCAAAAAATGTACAGGATCTTTCGAAGGAGGAGTACAGGATCTTTTGAAACGGGGCATTTCTGTCGAAAATGCCCCGTCTAAACTGATGGGTTTTTTCGAAAAAGCCCCATTTTGAAAAAAAGTGGCAGCTGCCATTATGCAAATGAAGCACGGGAAATTTAAATCCTGGCTTCATTTGCAATATCGATGTGCCTAATTCACATCACTTTACCAAAAAAGGGATGTGGTCTAGACATAGTCTATGACTAAAGTTCAATGGACACAAATCAGACATCAGAAATGGTAATACACATATACTTGTAGAGGAACATTTTAACCTTCCTGGTCACTCAATTCTGGATTTAAAAATAGTCATTCTTCTACAAAGGAATTTCACTAACCAATTACAGAGAGGGTCTGCAGAACTGGAATTCATCTACAGATTTGGGCTCTATGGCTATGTCTACACTACCAGGTTATTTTGAAATAAGTTATTACAAAATAATAACTCCCTAAATGTTTACTTCAAAATAAGCTTACTCCTCTTCACAAGAAGGAGCTATTTTTTCAAAATTAGCCCGTCATAAGACGGGATTTTTCAGGTCTCTCCTCCACGTTAGTTTTCTCTCCTGAGCCTCCAGTCTCTCTCTCTCTCTCTCTCCTTCTCCTACTGCCTTCCCCCTCTCTCTTTCAGCTCTCTTCCACCTCCTGCCTCTCTCTCTCTTTCTCTTCTCCTCCCCCTCCTGCCTCATATTCGGGGGACCGTGGAGCCCAAATGGCCATTTGGGCACCACACTCCCCGTGCTGCATGAGGGGTGTAGAACCCAAACGGTCGCTTGTGCCACTTGCTCCTATGCAGTGGCCTGGCTGAGCAGCGCAGAAATCAGCTAGCGCCACGGCGGGAGGCGAAAGGGGGGCTGGGCGGTGATGTTCACGACCAGGGGGCGGGGCCTGGAGCTGCTGTCACGCCACATGTCACCGCCCCGCCCCCTTTCCCCTCCTGCCATGGCACTCGGTTGACTTCTGTGCCTCTCAGCCGGGCCGCCACGGGGGAGCAAGCAGCGTAAGCAGCCGTTTGGGCCCCGCACTCCCCATGCACCATGGGCCGCCCAGAGGGAACAGCCAGCATTTCAGGCAACAGCGCCCCCCCAGAGGGAACAGCCAGCATACCCAAGTATGTATAGGCATACCCAAAATGGGCTGCAAGCCCATTCTGAGAAAGCTGCTTACAGGCTGCTCCCATTGGCTGCAGTTCGCCATTTGCAGACAAGAGGACCCACGAGAAGTCCCAATCTCTGTATTTATTTTGTAAGGCAGTATATATATATTTAAGTTTAAGCTCTGTGTTATGGTCTTCATTTAAAAGGAAAATGACAAATTTCTATTTAATTATGTTAGTTTAGCTAGGGTGTATTGTAATGGCTGTGCTGTAGTGTGGTCCATAAAAAGGAATTTGGGTGTGTGTGTTTGTATGTGTGCGTGCAGGTGTAACTATTTGATAGTAGAGACTGGTACTGGATTCTTAAGAAAAAAAGGAAAGTGAGTCTTATAATTTCTACTTTTAGTATGTGGTCCCTATTGAAAATCCAGTTGTGGTCTTTTGCAGACAGCAATTCATGACTGTGCAAATACTTTGTCAGACAGACGAATTCTGTAGCACAGAATTGGTGAATAAATTGACTTCGCTCTACAAAGGTAACATTCAGAATGTATATGCATTTCAAGGGTTGTCGCCCTTTTGTCTCAGAGGCTGCCATTCTAATATCCTCACGGAAGTCTCTTAGGCCTAGCTTCTCAAAGGTATTTAGGCTCCTAATTTCTATTTATTTGAATTTATTTCAATGGATGTTAGGAACCTAATCAGAGGTGTCAGCTTCTCCATTTCCCAGGGAGTGCTTGACGCCCACTCCACTGCTTCCCCCAAACCTTGCCTCTTTCAGTCCCTGTTCATCCACCTCCCCAAAGCACCTTCAGTACTCTGCTAAACTGCTGATTGCAGTGAGTGGGAGATGCTAGGAGGAGTTGATCAGTGGGGCCCAGTGGTGGGCAGGAGGGCTAGGAGGGGAAGGAAATGAGCTGATCCATATGGCTGCTGGGTTGGCGACTATAAACATAAAAACGGCCATACTGGGTAAGGCCAAAGGTCCATCTAGCCCAGTGTCCTGTTTTCCAACAGTGGCCAATGCCAGGTGCCCAAGAGGGAATGAACAGAACAGGCAGCCCTGCAGTGATCCATCCCCTGTCCCCACTCCCAGTTTCTGGCAAACTGAGGCTAGGGACACCTAAATGCCTCTGAGAATCTGGGCCCTCCTATCCAAATCTACAAATCCAGGCATCTTTGCCAGACAGATGCACAGCATGGCAGGCAAGTCAGGGTCAGAATGTGCCATTTAGCTGAGAGTAGGGTTGCCAAATAGTTTCACAAAAAATACCGAACACGGCGGGGAAAATTGATTGAGCAAAAAAAAAGAAAAGAATTACGGCTCCTTTAAATCCCCGCACACTCCCACACTCCTCCTGGCCCCACTAGAGACAATGGGAGAAGAATGTCCCAAGTGGCCTTCTGTCCAAGAAAAACAGAAAGTACTGGACATTTTACATGTCCGGTATTTTCTGTTTTGTTTTTATCAGACACATGATGCAAACACCGGGCTGTCCAGTCCAATACTGGACACCTGGCAACCCTAGCTAAGTGACACAATGCCCCTCCTCTGCAGAGTCCCACTTCCTCAGTGTCCACACTAGTCTGACTGGGGTTGGAACTAGCACCTCTGGGTTTTATACTAAGGACGTTAAGTAACGGTGAATCGACTAGTCGAGTAGTCCATGGAATTTCCATCAACTACTACTCCACTAGTCAATAGGCACTTTGGCATTCCTCCTTTGAAAAGTACAAGAGTCCCCCTCACTCCCAGCTGGGCCAGCTTTGAAATGCACAAGAGTCTCCAGCAGGGGCTCTTGTGCATTTCAAAGTGGTAGCGCAGCCTGGAGCCCAGGGTCTCTGAGTCCCCAGCTGACCCCAGGCTCAGGCGGCAGCGCTGCACAGCTGATCCTGCGCTCAGTTGTGCGGTGCCTTTGAAGTACCCTTCTCCCCGTTTGCTGCCTCTGTCTGATAGAGGCAGCAAGGGGGGTGGAATGGACTAGTTGCCCGACTGTCCCATAAGCATCTGAAGCAAAATGCAGGACAATGTAGCACTTTAAAGACTAACAAGATGGTTTATTAGATGATGAGCTTTCGTGGGCCAGACCCACTTCCTCAGATCAAATAGTGGAAGAAAGTAGTCACAACCATATATACCAAAGGATACAATTTAAAAAAATGAACAAATATGAAAAGGACAAATCACATTGCAGAACAGAAGGAGGATGCGGGGGGGTGGGAAGGGGGAGGAAGGAAGGTAAGTGTCTGTGAATTGATGATATTAGAGGTAGGGAGAGTGGGATGTTTGTGAGTTAATGGTATTACAGGTGATAATTGGGGAAACTGTCTTGATAATGGGTGAGAAAGTTCAAAGACTTGTTAAGTCCCTGGTGGTAAGTGTCGAATTTTAACATGAATGACAGTTCAGAGGATTCCCTTTCAAGTGCAGATGTAAAAGGTCTTTGTAGCAGAATGCAGGTGGCTAAGTCATTTAGAGAGTGTCCTTTCTGGTTAAAGTGGCAAGAAACTGTTTTCTCTTTGTGATCTTGTCTGATATCTGTTTTGTGGGCATTAATCCTTTGGCGAAGTGTCTGAGATGTTTGTCCAATGTACATAGCAGACGGACACTTTCGGCACATGATAGCATAGATTATATTTCTGGATGCGCAGGAATATGTGTTCTTGATCTTATAACTCACTTGGTTAGGTCCAATAATGGTATCAGCAGAATGAATATGTGGACAAAGCTGGCAACGGGGTTTGTTGCAAGGGAAGGTACCAGGGTTGGTATTAGTGTGGTATGTCCTGTGGTGGTTGGTAAGAATCATCTTGAGGTTAGGTGGTTGTCTATAGGAGACTATGGGTCTGTCTCCCAGAGCCTCTTTGAGTATGGTATCCTGTTCCAATATAGGCTGTAGTTTATTGATAATGTGTTGGACAGGTTTAAGTTGGGGGTTGTAGGTGATGACAAGTGGTGTTCTATTGTTGGTTTTCTTGGGTCTGTCTTGAAGTAGATGGTTTCTAGGTATTCGTCTGGCTCTTTCAATTTGCTTTTTTATTTCTCCGGGTGGGTAGTTGAGGTTTATAAATGCTTGGTAGAGATCCTGAAGCTTCTGGTCTCTGTCAGTGGGGTTAGAGCAGATGCGGTTGTATCGAAGGGCTTGGCTATAGACGATGGATCGTGTGGTGTGTTCTGGATGGGAGCTGGATGCATGTAGGTAACTGTATGAGTCAGTGGGTTTTTTAATTGTATCCTTTGGTATATATGGTTGTGACTATTTTCTTCCACTACTTGATCTGAGGAAGTGGGTCTGGCCCACGAAAGCTCATCACCTAATAAACCATCTTGTTAGTCTTTAAAGTGCTACATTGTCCTGCATTTTGCTTCAGCTACCCCAGACTAACACGGCTACATCTCTATCACTGTTCCATAAGCATCTGTGAGGGAGCGGAGCCCGCCGGAGGGCCAGGGGCTGGGGGCGCTGTCCCTTTAAGAGGGGGAAGGGGAGACCCACGTTTCGGCACAAGTGACCCGGAAGTGACCCGGCGAAGAGGTCGGGGAGACTCGGGGAAGCTCGCGGCGGCTCAACCGCTGTCACCGGGCCCCCGGCTGCATGAGGGGCTGAGCCTCTGGCCGCGCGGGTGTGAAGGGGCGGGGGGGTCTCCTCCCGCTGCCGCGGCGCAGGTAAGGCCGGGGCCCGCCTCCGGGCGGGGAGGGGGACTTGTGGAAACGAGGCGGGGGCGGTGCTGCGGGGGGCGAGCCCACCCCGCGCCCTCCCCGCCGCTGCGTGTCGGGCCCGCGCGCTCTGCCCCTGCCCCTGCAGCTCCCTTGACACTGACTCCCCTAGTGGGAGCTTCCCCCCCCGTGCCCTTGCGCCGGCTGGAGCCCCTGTCAAGCCTTGCGTGGACGGGCGCTTGGTGCTCTTCGCTTGCAGCCTCGTGACTCGCGGGGCTGCTGCCCGGTGGGAACAGAGCCGTGCAGATGGGCTTGCGGGTTGGTGGGGAAAGTCCTGTTGTTTATTCGCTGCCGGTTTTCTTTGTCACTTTTTATGCAGCTTGGCTTTTTATAAGAAATGCGTCTAACAGTCTGGACTTCATGCTACATCTAAGTCGCACGTTGAGTTTTTGTGGTCATCAGATTTAGCAGATGAAGCTCTTGGTATTTCTGCGTTTTGTATAGGGCTGAGCAGGGGGCTGTGATAAGCAGACAAAACCTTAGTATCAGTGTGTTGATTTTTACAGATAGGTGTCCAATTGTTTGTTCCATTGTATTTTAGTCATCTGTTGCATCATCTAGATTTCCCTTTGTTTTGCTTTATTAGCTTAATAATTGTTTACTTAATCCTCTCCTCTACAGACATTTTTCCCTTTAGGCACATTCACTTTAGCAAGGCAGCAACCTACAGAGAAACCAAATGAAGAAATGTTGAAAGAGCTTAAAATTAAATGGTGATACTGTCTGTAGGGTTAAGTGGTTCCTCTCCCTTAATTAAGATAAATTATGGGTGAGCCTAGATCCACTTGCTCTAGTAGTACATTCAGTTTACACAGTATATGAGGTTATGGGCTTACAGATCAGTGTCATTCATTACCCTGTGGTTTAGTCACAGAGTAGGTCATTCTTTACAGGAGGATCCATGTGGGGAGATTAAGTATGTGATCAGGTACTTAAAGATTCACCCACCTGGGCCTCCTATTTTGCTTTCTAGTCCAAATGCCCCCCATCCCTGGTTCCTAATCTGTGTTCCTTCTACCCCCTTTTCTCTTACAGCTCATAGTCCCAGCCTCTTCTTGGTTTCGTTCACATCCCTTATTCCCTCTTTCTTTTCACTCTCCTTGTCCAGCTTGTCCCTGTTTCTTTCATATCCCCAGTCTCAAGAGACTACTTTTCCTTCCCCTGATCTGACTTGTATGTGTTCAGTTCAGCTACGTGCTTTTTCAGTGCTGTCTGGACACTTCAGAGTTGGGCAGGAAGGAGGAAAGCTGGTAGAGAACAGAGCATTAGTTCAGTTGCTCATCTCCATCCTGGTCCAGAACAACCATTACAAAGTCTAACATTAGCCCTGGGCTGGAGATGGCTTAGTCCATTCCTGTGTAGGGATGGTGCATGAACAGTCTGTTAAGCCTGAGAAGCTTGAGATGCTCCTTAGAGATTTTACTTGCTGAAATCAAAGTTAATCTTATTACATTGGACCTTGTGCTTATTGGTATGCTACGGAGGAATGGGACTCAGAATATCTCAATTGCACTCTTAAATGTGGAACCATAGCATTGGGTCCATGACATTTTTAAGTTTGTCAAGAATTTGGCAAGTCTTGAAGAAAGTTTGCATACCAATGGTGATGTCTGAATGTTTGATTATAAGCCGTTCATGTGAGCCTCCATTGAAAAACAAGTGTCTAGCCCTAAGAGTTGTGAATAAAATATTCCAAAAGTGTCTGGATGTGTTGTTTTCTTTCTGGATATGCAGCCACTGCTCACAGTTCTCTTGTGGGACCTAAGAGTAAAAACTCATTCACGTTGAACATGCTTAATATTTTTTGGTGATAGGGAGAAGCTTTTTTAATACACTACTAAAAAAATGAAAAATGCCACAATCACTCTTCTTTCAGGACAAATTGAACTCCTATAGTAGAACCTCAGTTATGAACACCAGTTACAAGTTGACTGGTTAACCACACACCTCATTTGGAACCACAAGTACACAATCAGATAGCAGCAAAGCCAAAAAACCTTAACAGTACAGTGTTAAGCATAAGTAATAAAAAAAAGACAGTTTTTGAAAAAAGTTTTGACAAGGTTTCTGTGCTTGTTTCGTTTAAATTCAGATGGCAAAAACAGCATTTTTCTTCTGCATAGTAAAATTTTCAAAGCTGTAGTAAGTCAATGTTAAGTTGTAAACATTTGAAAGAATAACCATAATATTTTGTTCAGAGTAGGGATGTGCATGTTCAGCTGGTTAAATGTGTTGGTGGGGGGGAGGGGCTGCTCCAGGCTGGCCACTGTGGGTGGGTAGGACTGCTCATCCCGGTTAATTGGTTAAACATGTTTAACTGGTTAACTAATTAAACAGGATTTTATATTCCTAGTTCAGAATTATGAATGTTTCAGACTTATGAACAGCCTCCTTTCCTGATGTGTTTGTAACTCTGAGGTTGAACTGAATATGTACTTAATTCCTAATGGCTCCTCTATAAAGGGAAAAACAAACCAGCAAAACTAAAAATAAAATAGACTTATGGAGCATTAAGGAATGCTTGGGTAGCTGATTGCATATTACTTGTAAAATGAGATTAAATTTCAGGACCTTCCTAAAGTCTCCTTCCCCGGACTTCTCCAAGGAGGAGAAGCTCTCCTGGAGAACAAGTCTCTGTAGCCCAGCTCTGTATGAGTGTAGAGTCTGTGCTGTGCCTTGAGTTTCCAGAGGTAGGAGAGGAAGGACAAATACAGTTCAGATAAAAATTCTTGGATTTGTGTGCATTTAAAACAAAATTTATAAATCCTTTAGACATTGTCCATCACTGCTATGGAATGAACACTTTGTGTTACACTACACCTGCATGAAAACATGAAGTGAAACTGACCATAAATGGATGGTCTATTTTTTTTTAAACTCTGAAGTGAAATGTAAGAAAAAGATAAATGGTGAAAATAGGGACAAGATTTAAAAGAAAAACGAAAAACCTGGATGCCCATTACAAATAAGCTCCTAAATAAAGAAATGTATGATTTTTTTTCATAATTTATTTGTTGAAAAGTGCAGTTTCAGATCAACTAAAACTATTTGCGGGTTTACTGTGGACTTGCTGTTTAGTGTTAGTATAAATATATATATAAAAAAATCTCAGTTACAAGGGGAAAGTAGGCACTATTCACAGATAACGTTAGTAATAGCAGCTATTTGGTATCACTGCAAATTGGGCCATTACTGCTTTATTTCTCTGCACATGGTGTCTACACTCACATTGCATTGATCTGAGTATGGTACATGAGCTGTGGATCTACTCTGAAAGTGGTGTTACTGTATATTGAGGTGCTTACATTGTTAGGAGACTAATTTAAGCATATACTCATGCGTGGTAAGGTGACAGAAGGCAGGTTACTTGGATCCAACTTTGTCATAGAGACCAGACATTAAGCCAGTTGTTTTCAAACTGCAGAGGTCTGCAGCTGCCTTCTAGGTGGTCCATAGCTTGAGCTCAGTTCCCTTCTCACTGCGGGTGGGGATCCTATGCTAGCGCTCCAGCTTCTCTCTCCCTCCCCTGTGAAATTGGAGCACCGGTGTTGGCTTCTCGCTTAGTGGGAGAGAAAGCCCTGAGCCTTCCTGTGTGATCCAGCTCACAGGGCAGAAGCTCTCCTCCCTCCCCGGCTGGGGGAGTGGCAGCACATGTGCATGCTGCCTGCAAGTTCTCTCTCCCCCCCCACCCCCATTGGCTAGAATCCAGCCAGTGGGAGCAGCAGTAGGCCATGCCTGGGAATGGCGCAGGGCCCGAAGGTGGGTAACTGCCCCCCCATCCTCTCATACCCAGACTCATGCATGCCCTTGCTGAGACTTCGCACCTCCCAGTCCTCTCTTGTATCCTCCCGCCAGCCATACACCTTTGCTCCTACATCCTCCCTCCTGGCCGCATACTGCACCTTCCCTTGCTCTTACCACCTCCCCCAGGCCAGACATCCTACTCCCAGGTTGCTCCTGCACCTTTCCTTGCACCCAGACCTTGCATTTTCACCGCCTCATGCACCCCACCTCCTGCCCAGATCCTGCACTCCCTTCCCTCTCACTGGCAACCCTGTCCCACACACTGAATCCTAAACCCAGAGTCTGGGGGGTCCACAAAATCCACTAACCCTGGAACCCCAGAAGAGTAAATCTAGCCTATGGGAAGCCCTGAACCTCAGTCCTCTCTGTCCGTCCCTAAGTGGGGCTGGAGCACCAGAGGAGTGTAGTGTCTCAGTTGAGAGCAACGTTATTAGGGTTTTTTTGGGGGGGCGGGTCTCACTTGTGTAGTCCCCAACTGATTTTTCTATGGATCAGTGGCCACCTCTGCCATAAATAAAGAAAATACGGGAACCTTTTGTGTTGGATTCTCCTCCCTTCCTCTAAAACTTTCTTGCGGGATGACAGAGTGATGCCATTATTAGGGATGTACTAGTATAGTCGATTAACTGATTAGCCAAAGCTTATAGGTTAATGCTATAGACTACACCAGTGTTTCCCAATTTTTTTGACCACAGAACCCTTTCAAACTCAGAAAAATTTCCAGGAACCCCCTAGCCAGAGATTAAGTTTGTCGAGCAAAAAAAAAAAAAACACAGACTGCCAGTACAACACAATTGGTAGTAATAAGATGCTAAATACGGTCATGAGATCACCATTCATTTAAATTCAACATATTGAATATAACACCATTCATTTATATTCAACAAAAATCATATTAAGTATGTACAAAAATAAAACTATCAAAAGAGTGGTTTTTCTTCTTTTCTTGGCAAATTCTTTTTATATTTGGTTTAATACTAGAAAGTTGGATTTGCATATCTGGCGCAGCATTCAGTCAATTTCTGTATCTCGTTTTCACTGCTGCATAGTTCGAGAACCCAGTTTCGCACAAGTATGTACTGGCAAAGAGTAACAGCTGACAAACTGCGCATCTTGATAAAGATGAATATTCTTGACTTTGACAT